TCAATCATAGAATTGACTAGAGGTCTACTTGGCTATATTTTAACTATAATCAAAAACCAACTTCTAATATAACAAATTTTAAACTTAATCAACTTAAATCCTTTAAGATTAAAATCCTTCTTAATGAATTAACAACATATTTTCTTCATCACACTCTTTATTCTACTCATTTTAACAATCCTAATTGCTTTTACTGTAATACTTTAATTTATTAACTCATTGGCTTAGCTGTAATAATCCTGGACTACTTAATCAAATTATTATTACAGTCATAACTGAATATCTCAAATCCGTTGAATTAGACCTTCCTAATAATCAAATAGATAAACTTATTTATAAGATATGCAATCATAAAGCTTTCAATCAATCAGCTACTCAACCAAGCTCACACTATATTAAACTTATACTAAAGGGTTTAATCCTACTATCTCTAACTAATACTATTCAAGATTTTAGTATTCTTTACAAGATTGTATCCTACACTGCTATCAATATACTACTTAAAATTAATGAACAATTATATGAACAAATATGGAAACTATACTGTTCAAATTTCTTTAATTGGAAAAAATAACAAAAATTATCTTATCTATACTTTAACACTCAAAATTCAGTTCAACTATCAACTACTACTAAATGTATCCACCCAATATACACTTATTTTTGCTTATGCGAGGAATCTGATCAACTACATACCCACTCTAGTATTTGTCCACTAGTTGGTTAAGCAAAGAACAAAGAAGAAATATTATATATGGTCTAATCATCAGATAAACTACAATATGTCTTTAAACTCTATACTATCTATTTTAATCTAGGTGAATCTTTGACCACTCTAGTAGATTTAGGTCACAAATAAAGTAGTCTGAGCTTTTATTCTTACAATATAGTTTTATTTCTATTTGTACTAGTACAAATTGTAGTAATTATTTAGTTAGTTATTGTTATATTCTTAGTACTTATAAAACTATTAATAAAAATATAAGCAAGGCCTCACCTTAATCTTAAAAAAAAAAAAAAAAAAAAAAAAAAACAATCAAAATATAAAATTAAATGCAGTATACAGATCATTTTTTGTACAACAAAAATAAAAAAAAAATTTTACTTATAAAATCATCTTTTGGGCCCTAAAAAAAAAAAATTTCTTGCAAATTTTACTATAAATTATACTCTTTACTAACTCTAACCTTTAACTCTAACCTTATTATTAATTAAAAATATTAAAAGTATTATATTTTAATAAAAATTAATTATAGATCATATCTATATTTCAAACACTCTGTGTACGATTAGTTTTTTTCATAATAAAATTAGTTTATTTAATAAAATTTTGGTTATAACTACAGTAATTTTCACCCATGGTGATATCACCCGATATTATAAAATTTTTATTAAAAGACAATAATTTATGGTTAGGGGTTAGGGTTAGCCTTGGGTTAGAGTAAGAAGGCTTAAATATATGTAAAATTTGGTGCTAAAAACTTTTGCTTAGAAGTCAAAACATGATTTTTATAACAAAATTTTGTTATTAAAGCTTTTCTTTGATTTTTCTTTTTCTCACTTTGTTTTGGTTACACAATATCCGGAGAGCTGATTGGCTTTTACACAACCGGGTGACATCACCTAGGGTGAAAATTAGCAACACTCTAAAATTTTTTATAAGATTAAATATATATGCAAAAAAATTACTATTATTAAGTTTATACAGTAGATAATTTTAAAATACAGTAATACCATTTACTCTTAATTATATCTAAGCAGATCGACAAAATTTAGGGTTGAAATAAATTCTCCCAATCAACCCAAAATTTTACTAATGAAATGGTAGCCCGCGTACTAAGTAAAGCTACCCAGATAATAATTTTGCTGTAGGATAGTTAGCTTATATTATTGCTTAATGCCGGTCTATTCCAACCATAAATTTTGGTCGGTCTGCTAAATTTTGGTTGCTTCACTAATCTCTCCCAAAAAATTGGCAGTGACGTATATTTCTGTATTCGGCTATTATATTTTTATTTGGGATCTAAAAAAAGTTCTTACGAATGTTTTATAACTTTTTTGGATCCCGAATTATGAGTATGAAATTAATAGGGAGAATACAGAAATATAGTCTGAGTGGCTTGTATACACGTCACTGCCAATTTTTCAATTTTTTGAGACATAACTAATCTACATCTCTACCGTAAAGCCCTTCGGACAATAAACTTAATGCCACCAGAATTATAATAAAATTAGGCTGCATTAAGGGATAAAATTTTGATAATATAAAATTATATTTTTTCCGAGATAGACACAATTAATGAACCCAAAAGTACTGGCAAGGTAATTTTTTGAGTAATGTACATATTATTCCGGGATGAGGTAATAGACAAAAATTTTAACACATAACTTACGTAAGTTATCCAGCCCTACTAAAAGCTTCGGATTGGCTCCGGCTTCAACCCGAAATTCGGATTCGGATCAGACCGAGTTTTTTTTCTTTTTTAATCTGCTATTAAAAATACGTATATGCATAATATACTATACGGCATATCTGTAAGCCTTAACGCCAAATCTAAAAAATAAAAAAATTTTGCGTACGTATTATATAATCTTTAGTAATGAGTTGGATTAAAAATTGGAATTAAGTCAAAATTTTGCAAGAAAAAACGGTGTAAAAAAAAGGTTAATCGGCAAGATTACGATTTGCATTTTTTTTTAAGTTACACCTTGATCTCGAAATTTAATTGGATATGATAATTTTTTGGAATATATATCTGTATATATCTGTATATATATCTGTATATATATCTGTATATAATATTATAATATATATATAATACAGATACAGTATATATATAGTAAAACCCAAAATTTGTAACTTATTTGTAACTTAATATAAAAATACGCATATATATGTTGTACACCAAATGTTAATTTTGGCTAAATGTTAATCGGGATGACCCAAATGGTAATTTACCAAATTTATCCAAATGCCCGGCCTAAATTAATTAGTTTAGATTGATAATTTAGGCCAGATTGACATTTAAGATAATTGACATTTGGGGCACAACATATCAAAGATATTTTACATAAATATATACAGTAATATATACAGAAATATATACAGAAATATATACAATAATATATACAGTATATTTATATAGATATATGTGTATATGTTTATATGTTTACATAAATATGCAAAGCTAATAAATATTCTATTAATATAGATATTTAAAAATTATTGCCAACATGCTTATTTTAGAATATTTGTATGCATGATGTAATCTCATTTTGTAGCATAAACATAATATAATAGTGCATATATTAACAAATAAAAATAGTTTCTGCAAGAGATTATTGAGGTTCTAGAAAAAAAGATCCAGCATTTTGTACTAAATATTGTACTAAATAATGCAAAATCCACATAATATACATTATTGAGATATCGGATATACGTAAAATCCGGCGATGATAGAATAATTCTTCAATGATCATGTGAAAAATTTTTAAACTTTAAATTTAAGTTTAATTTGTCACAACAGAAACATAGACAATGTTGTTGTTATGCATATATAGATATATAGTATATATGTATATATAGGATATATAGGATATATAGTATGTTACAGAACCTTTAAAATCACTATTTGTCACAAATTAATAATCAAAATAATCAGAGTTGGGTAATAATCAGATTTTCGAAACATATTATTAAATAATAACTTTATATCATACTCATACTGTATAAAGATTTATTTGAGAAAGTTATAATTAGTTAGCTATAGTTAAGCAAGAATGCGGATATAAATTACTAGTAAATGAACAATAAATGAACACAGCTAAGTAGACTAGATAAAAAGAAAATCAAATTTCATAAAAGAGAAAGTGGACGCACATACCAAACGGAATTAGATGATCTTTATGCAACGTGGCAGAACATGGAAATGAATGACATATGTAATCAGAAGGTCACGCTTTAATGGTGTTAATGACCGGTCATTTTTTGTTATTTCACCTTTTCGAGCTCTTTCGGCTGATGCTGTTCAACAAGCATCCGGTTACTCTAAATTCCATATCGAGCAAATGCGAGGTCCCAGCCCATAGTCCTGGCTTGAAACTTACATAATAGTAGATGTTAATGTGCTATATAATGTGTTTACATTTTACCGCTTTCTAAAATGCTTGTTGCTTCAAGTTTGGATACACACAAACAATTGATGTCCATAACAGATTTATAAAAGAAGTTGTAACAACATCACATCCCTTACCAACGCACGCAGGTTTTCCCTCCAAACTTTTTTTTCTTTCCCCTTTCCTGTAATCAATCTCCTTCCCGTTCTTCCATAGTGCGTATAGTGTGCGTATATCGTACAACTGTTCTTACATTCTTTCATTTTCCGAAGTCCCTTTAAAAAGGACAGAACCTTCTTTTTTTTAGTATCTTTTTATGCGTTGTTGTGGACTTCTATAGCCCTTAATCAGTTGGCTGCTATATATATTTTCTTTTTGCTTCTTGACCTTTTAAATAAATTGGACGAGTGCAATCGTCACTACTTGCTTTCTTTTTAGGCTTTGCGACTTTCACTTTTTTTTTCTTTTTTCTATTTTTTTTTTTTTTCTTCTTTTTTTTTTCCACACATTTGCTGGTCTTTTTTATTTTAGCTTCTCTGAGGTATTTATAAAAATAACTTTCAAATTTGACATCTTGGTGGAAATCTATTACTATCACTACTCAATCTACGAACCGCTACTCATTAATAACTTTTTCCCTTTTCACCATCTACAAAGATTTCTCTTGGTTATTGTTAAAACGGTTTCACTCTTATATTGAGTAAGTAAGATCCTATTTATCCTATTTATTATCGTTATACTATATACTATTGGTCTCGTCTTATTATTTTTTTTACTTGATATTTTTATTTCGTTTTATTTATTACATATTATATATATATATATATACTCAACTTTACTCACATCTTTTATCCTCCCTTTTTCTATGTTCTAGAATATAAATCATGTATGCGCAAAGGGATTCGTCGGGTACCCTACTTACTCAGGCTTTTCATCCACCATCGTCCGAGGAACATTTTTCTTCTCAAAATTTTTTTGAACAACAGCAACAGCAGTACAATCAAGAACAACTTGAAGAGATTCAAGAACAACTTAACCAATCTAATATAGTTCAACGTTTCCAAATCAATGAGAACAATAATTTTACTTTTCAGACCTTTGATAATAATCCCCTTCTCGGAAATTCCCTCACTGCTGATTGGTCACAGATTTATGGAAATGATGATATGTGTGGTTTAGTAGATGGTTCGAATTTTTCTAACGGTGTCTTTGTTGATGGTCTAATACCTCAAAATTTAGTTGGTGATGCTAGTTCTTGGGTACTTAATCAACCCTCGGGTTTTGTCAAGCAAGAAACTCATTCTTCATTATCAAATTCTCCTTCCGAGGCCGGTTCCGATCAAAATAATGAATCGGTTATGTCCTCTAATTCTAACGATCATACTAGAGCTCAAACCCCTGTTCCTTTTCATAAATCTAATATTCCAAATTATTTAACCGCTCGTCGTCGAAGTTTATCCGCTGATAATATACATGCTCTGGCAAAAGCTCAACAACTAGCTAATCGTAAGGTCACGTATCTCGCTCAACAAAATTCTGATTATTTATCTTTTCCCAGATCTCAATCTTTGGCTTTTGATCAACATTCTCAATTCTCTCTTCAAAATACAAAACAACAGCCCATTCAAATGCAAGAAACAACTATAAACCAAAACATTTTACTTTCTGATAACCAAAATACTAATCAAATTAATGATAATGATGCTCAACAAAATAATTCTGTTACTGCTAGTCCTCCTCAACAACCTACAAATCGTCCTCAATTATCTAGATCTGTTTCTCATCAACAGATTGGTCCAATTAATCATGCTCAAAGGCTTACCGAATTTCAAGCTAGATTTAAAGTAAAATTAGATAAAAGAAATCAAAGAAGTATGCCAAATATTCATGCCGCCGCTCATGCTGCAATGGCTCAATCTTCTATAAATCTTCAAAAATCTAATCCTTCAATCGGTGGCCCTGCTAACGGTAGTGTGCCTATAATGGAAATTAATCAGCCCTTGTCCTCTCAATCGTTCGCCTCTGAGAAATCTAATTCTCTTAAACCATCTCCTAATCAACCTCGTCGTGGTCATATGCGTAAACGTTCTCTTTCCGCTCCCACGACTCCATTTCCAAATCTTACGCAACAGTCTCCCGGTTCTATTCCCTTGCAACCTGCTCAATCTTTTCCTCTAAACTTTCCTATGTCCTTCAGAAGGCCTAATGCTATTCCTATTCAAATTCATAGAAATCCTAAACATTCTCATGCTAGTGCTCCTTTATCTTCTGAGGAGTATCAACGTAAACTTAATGAAGAATTAGAGAAAGTTGACTTTGATGATATCACTGTTAGTGAACTCAAAGAAATGTTACGTCAAAGAGGTAAACCTGCTACTGGTAAAAAAGCTGTATTGATGCAAAGGCTTCAAGAGGAAGTAGAGCACGTTAAAGCTATGAAAAATAATAGCCAACAACTTAAGAACCAAATGATGTCATCTCCCACATCTCCTTCTAGTGGTGTATCTTTGCAAAGAAGTATTGCTAATTTACAAATATCCAGTCCGCCCATACAACATTCTAGACGCTTTAGTCCTTATGGTAGCGTCAGTATTCCGGGCAGTCCAAGAATAATGCCCAGCGGGCTGGGTAATGGGCGATCTGGCTTTAATGGAAATGTTCCATATACTGAAGGTGATGAATGGCAGCAGCACTTTCACAACGTTGGAATGGTATCACCATTAGCTTCACATGATCTAGATGATGCGGTTCAATCTCAAGCTATGATTATAATGGGATCACAGCAACCGCAAGAAATGTATGGACAACAACAACCTTCTTCTGCACCACCTACTACAACTGAATTTGAACAAGCATTTCAACAACAACCATCATCTGCTCCTCCGATGACAACCGAATTCGAAACTTTTGAATTCATGAATCCTATGGCTATGAATATGATGTCAATACCTCCTGATATGATGAGGCTAAATGTTAATGATGATTTAAAACAAAATCCATCTGAAAATAAACCAGTAATGAATGATGACCGACAATCATCAGGTTCAATGGTTTCGTCAACATCAAATGATACGGTGACTGGAATGTTGACACAACAGACTTTAGAGTTCGATTTTAATGCTCAACATCATTTACAAGATGGAAATGTTCTTATAAAGTCTGAAGGTATTTACTAATTATTTTGTATGTTTACTACTATCAATTCTCATTTTTTAATACTATTTATATATTTATATATATATTTTTTAGACTATCTTAATTACTCTCCTATGGCCTCTATTTCTCATCAATCATCTCAGCATTTACCTATGCAAATTGAACTTCCGCAAGATGGAATGACTTTTAGTGGATGGTGATTGTGTTGTAAATGGGCTGGAACCCACATTGATATTCTTAAAATTTTGGGCGCGTGGCATCTTTGATTTTATATTTATTGTTAAATTTACATATAATATATATACATTGAAAGATAAGTCACTATTAGTATTATCATATTAGTATTTACTCTTGTATTTTATGTTGGTGGTTTTATTTCTATTTTTATCTTTTATCTCTTTTTTGTGGAATTTGAGATTGTGACCTAGAAATCTTTATCTTGTCGACTCTATTTTGCTCTAAATCTTTTCTAAATGGATATTATTGCATTAACCGATCCGGAAATGTTAAATGTATTGTTAGCATGGTTATATAGAGAATATTATCCTTTTGTTTTTTAGAGAGCATTTATATGGTTAGGATATCAAATCAAGAATGGGTCGTGTACCTTAGTCCTCGACTTTTCACATCTCACTTCACATCTACTTCACACATACACTTTTCCTTTTACCTTTAAAGCCGTGTTTTTATTTTTCTATTTCAATTTATATGATTTGTTGGTTTTCATTTTCTTTCTTTTTTCATTCAAAAATCTTTTTTTTCTTGTAGTATAGTTTTCCCCTTCCCCTTTTTTCAAAACTATCATTTTTTGTTCCACTTAAAATACGCAATAGATACAAAATAAAATTTTTTTTTCCTCTTTTTTTTTCTAAAAACTCACATTTTTTCATTTGTAGTTATTTTTTTATCAAAACAAAAAAAAAAAAAAAAAGGAGGTGAGCTAACAAAAAAAAAAAAAAAAAAGAGCGATTCCAATCTTAATCGCTCTGTATATTGATCTTTTGGAAATTTATACATATTTTAGGCTATTTTTAGATATGTATTTGGTTTAAACGTTGTGAATTGTTTTTTTTTTCTTTATTGAATGAATACGAAAGAATCTGAAGTTTATTTTTATTTGAAAAAAAAAAAATGGATAAAAATTGGATAAATAGCATACATATGCATATATATATATATGTATGATATACTATTATAATAAAAGATTTATTTTTTAAAAGATATATTTAATTATCATTACATTTATATAACGATAATACATTACGTTTATTTTAATAATTTTAATACAGTAGTTTTTTTTTTAATTATTTTTTTTTTAATTTCAATTAATATATATTTTTTTATACATATATATACGTATATACGTACGTACATAATACGGACATAAATTTTATTAAATTAAAAAATTAAATCGATATTTGTTTAATATAATAAAGATAATTAATATTATTCTATATATATATAAATCTTTAGTAATTTATGATTTGACTATTTGTAACTTTTTAAAACTTACCGAAATTTAGTAATTTTAAGATTTGTAAATATTTCAAATACTTTTTTTAAAAAAAATTATCAACGCGTTATGTTTTGTTTAGTTATATTAAAAAGTTAATATTTTAATATTTTACATATTATTAAACCGCATCTATGATGTTATATATAACATATTATATATTCAAAAAATTGACTAATTGGTATTTACGTAAAAAACCTTTTGAAATTTTAAATAAATAAATTAATAAAAATATCGATATATTTAGTACGTACAATATATTGTATTTAAAATTACTGTATATAGTATGTTTTATAATAAATACGTAATAGAAAATTGCTTGCTACGTATTTACTACCACTGGTAATCGCCACAGTAGAGACCTGTAAATTACCAATTTTTTATGACCCGCTTTTAATTTTAAATTTTAGGTTCGCCCGGCCTGCAAATATATAATCTTTTAAAAAAATAAAATTTAATAATTATACAATATATAATTTAATAACTTTTAATTAAATACGTATGATATATATTCAAAAAAGTAAGCTATTAATTTGGTTAGTTTTATATATGTTTTAAGAAAGTTGTTACCTTGCCCCCTGATTAACATAATTACTTTTTTATTATAACTTAAAAACAACCATATTTAATATATCGTATTTTTCCCAAAATAAGCTACTCTTTTTTGGCAAAAAAATTACATGAAAATTTCGCGGGTACATAGCTTATTTTAGGCTATACAAAGTTAATTTGAAAAATGACCCGGCAACCCGGATTTTAATTTTATTTTCAAAAAATTTATATATATATAAAGCATAATAAACTTCTAAAAAAAACTTACCCGAATAGTAAATATAGTTAAAAAAAAATTTTTTTTAAGAATTTTGCGAAATTTGACCCAATCGGGTTATGAGAACCAATTTATTAAGTTTGTATGCCTTACTGTATATATATATTTAAATTTTATAAAAATTAAAATATATTGATGAATCTTGTTTAAATTATATAAAGTTTTTAAAATATATGTATTTTGATCATCTAAATAACTTTATTTAAAATATCAATTTAATTTATTTAGTAAAAGATTAACCTTTATTTATAAAAACAATTTGTGATATTTTTACTATTTATAATTTGGCAGTCTTGCTACTTTTTATTTGCAAATTAAATTACACTAAGAAATTTATATTTCTTAATAATAGCTATACTAATTTACTTAAAAAGTAGCTTATCTATTGTAATATAGCAATACAGGGTCTTAGTAAAGCTATACTACTTAACTTAACATATAAGAGGGTTAAGAAATATGTTTGCAAATAAGAAAAGAATAAAATAAGAAGGAAAACTAAAAGAAAC